CCACCGTTTGTTTGAATCCACCCATTTTTCAAGTGAGCAAAACTATTGGAACATGTGACTGACAGATGTTTCTTCTTGCCCAGGTGTTGCCTTTTTTTCTTGCTGGTGGCAAGCCAAACTACAGTGGCATGCTCTAAAAGTTGCTCTGTGTATCATCAGCTTTAGTTTTCAATGACAACACTGATATTGTTTTGAAATAGGCTACTAGAGGTAATATTAATGGCGTTCAGATTATCAACACTAGTGTGTTTCATAGCTAACTTGGCGCACCCCGTTCAGCCTGACTCAATATTTGACCGTTCTATTCATAGCACTTTCTCCAGCGCTGGCACGGAGATATAACTAAGTGTCGATATAGGTCTGGCTATGCGTAATCTCTATAAACAGATATCTGCATATGAATCTGAGGTGATGATGATGATTTTGGCATCTGAAGCGTTCTGGTTTTCCATTTGTAGATGGTTTGTAGTCCAAGTAGTTTTGACCAATCATGTTTGAGCAGGCTTCGTTTGTGGTCCAAAGCTCCTCTGCTAGCAGGAGAAAACCAACACTCTCCAGTGCTCAACCTCCCAGTCCAGGCACAAGGGTTAAATTTGCAGTATCTCAATCTATCAACATTCTCAGTTTTATTAAAGGCATAATCTCAATCTGTAATCCAAACATGAACAAAACAGTTGGCACACTACCAAATTGAAAGGATCGGGACCTACTATAAGTCTGAAATTGATAAAGATGGTGTTGAAACCAAGCGGGAAGCTTCCGGTCTACAATATGAAGCAAATGCGGAAGTCCCTGAAACCTGCATTCTATTGAAAATCCAGCAGGGGGCGACTCTTCTGTTGCAAAAAGAAGTCCGGCTCCATTAGAAATAATGTGAAAATGACCCTTCTCAGCTGAATAATTAACCCAGTAAACACTTTCCTGATGAGTTTATTGTCTCAGTCGCTAATTTCAAGTCTTCTTCAATACAAAATTATGTTGATTTAGTAAATTATGGTCCCATTTATTTTAAAATAGACCACAAAGCAGAGTATGTTTCAGATTATCTATGATTGACAAGTCGTAATCATGGCGATTAGGAGTCGGCTGTTCACTTTCTCTGGTGAGTACATTTAGTTTTAAGGCTGTTGTTCGCCAGACAAAGTTATCAGCCGTTAAAATGTGAGTTACAGTTGCACCTAGCTAAGCAAGCTAGCTAGCTCCGCACACAGCCGTGTACACACAGTACTCAATTGCTTTTAAAGGTTTCTTTTCATCAGTTATTTAAGCACAGCTACAAAACTGGCTGTTATTATTGTTATTATGTTGACAAAACGTTGTATCTTGATTTAGCTCATTATGTGAGATTTATGTGATCTAAAAGATCTTGCACTTATTTGTCTCTGCATGGACATAGTGTGTTTATTTCCTTTTTGCTCTTTTTCTCTCTCAGGGCACCATGTGTTGGTTGTTCATTAATTCATCCGCTCCTTCAGCGCCCCTCCCTGCAGTCCTTCTTTTTCCCTCTGGAAAATGCCCCCCACTCTCGCTCATGTTTCTCCCTTCTCTCATTCCCACCTCCTTTCATCTCTCACAACTCCTTCACCTCCCCTTAACCCACTGTCATCCATTTCTTCTGGCATCCATGTCTCTGAACTGAACTGTTCTGCGGACTAAATTTCAGGTTTGAGTATGTATGCGTGAGTATTTGAGATATACCGGGCAACACTTTTTGAAAAAGCTTTTTAACTAATTAATGACACTATATATTTTACTTTACCCTCTCGATCACAACCCTCACACCTTCAGACTGTGTGTGCATGTGAAGGGTAGTGGTGGTTAAAAATAAACAATAATCAAGAGATTATTCTCCTTTCGCCATTTAACAATGCAAGAAGAAGAAAGACCCTTGTCCATCGTTTTTATAAGTGGTTCCCATCCCACTGTTTTCATGAACATGTGTGGTCAGCATTATTATACTGGCCAGTTTATTAGGAACACCAAGCTAATGCAAATGGTCTCTAACAGCCCTGCAATTGGAGGAAAGGGTAGTATTGGGACAAAGCCTTCCTTTTTTTGTGTTTATCCATCCATTCCTCCATCCACCTGGCCAATTCCCAGAGAAAAGCAGCAACAGGGTCCACCTCTTTTCAGCATCATTCACATCTCTTGTCAAACATACAGGTGCTGGTCATATAATTAGAATATCATCAAAAAGTTGATTTATTTCAGTAATTCCATTCAAAAAGTGAAACTTGTATAATGTATACATTCATTCCACACAGACTGATATATTTAAAGTGTTCATTCCTTTTAATTTTGATGATTATAACTGACAACTAATCCAAACCCCAAAATCAGTATCTCTGAAAATTAGAATATTGTGAAAAGGTTCAATATTGAAGACACCTGGTGCCACACTCTAATCAGCTAATTAACTCAAAACACCTGCAAAGGCCTTTAAATGGTCTCTCAGTCTAGTTCTGTAGGCTACACAATCATGGGGAAGACTGCTGACTTGACAGCTGTCCAAAAGACGACCATTGACACCTTGCACAAGGAGGGCAAGACACAAAAGGTCATTGCTAAAGAGGCTGGCTGTTCACAGAGCTCTGTGTCCAAGCACATTAATAGAGAGGCGAAGGGCAGGAAATGATGTGGTCGAAAAAAAGTGTACAAGCAATAGGGATAACCGCACCCTGGAGAGGATTGTGAAACAAAACCCATTCGAAAATGTGGGGGAGATTCACAAAGAGTGGACTTCAGCTGGAGTCAGTGCTTCAAGAACCACCACGCACAGACGTATGCAAGACATGGGTTTCAGCATTCCTTGTGTCAAGCCACTCTTGAACAAGACACAGCGTGAGAAGCGTCTCGCCTGGGCTGAAGACAAAAAGGACTGGACTGCTGCTGAGTGGTCCAAAGTTATGTTCTCTGATGAAAGTAAATTTTTCTTTTTTTCCTCTAGAAATCAAGGTCGGCAGAGTCTGGAGGAAGAGAGGAGAGGCACAGAATCCACGTTGCTTTAAGTCCAGTCCAAAGTTTCCACAGTCAGTGATGGTTTGGGGCGCCATGTCATCTGCTGGTGTTGGTCCACTGTGTTTTCTGAGGTCCAAGGTCAACGCAGCCGTCTACCAGGAAGTTTTAAAGCACTTCATGCTTCCTGCTGCTGACCAACTTTATGGAGATGCAGATTTCATTTTCCAACAGGACTTGGCACCTGCACACAGTGCCAAAGCTACCAGTACCTGGTTTAAGGACCATGGTATCCCTGTTCTTAATTGGCCAGCAAACTCGCCTGACCTTAACCCTATAGAAAATCTATGGGGTATTGTGAAGAGGAAGATGCGATACGCCAGACCCAACAATGCAGAAGAGCTGAAGGCTACTATCAGAGCAACCTGGGCTCTCATAACACCTGAGCAGTGCCACAAACTGATGGACTCCATGCCATGCCGCATTGCTGCAGTAATTCAGGCAAAAGGAGCCCCAACTAAGTATTGAGTGCTGTACATGCTCATACTTTTCATGTTCATACTTTTCAGTTGGCCAACATTTCTAAAAATCCTTTTTTTGTATTGGTCTTAAGTAATATTCTAATTTTCGTAGATACTGATTTTGGGATTTTCATTAGTTGTCAGTTTTAATCATCACAGTTAAATGAAATAAATATTTGAAATATATCAGTCTGTGTGTAATGAATGAATATAATATCCAAGTTCCACTTTTTGAATGGAATTACTAAATAAATCAACTTTTTGATGATATTCTAATTATATGTCCAGCACCTGTACAGGACTACTGACTCCCAGCCGTTAGAAAGAACCAGCTCCGATGTGTTGCACACAGTATCAGTTAAATACAGTTTTGCAGTTAATTACAAAAAATATTATGAGAATAAATGAGGACTAGCAATACAAAGCATTTCAATTCAAAGCATTTCAGGTGTTGGATGTAAATGACAAAGGTAAATATAATGATGTTCCTCAGTTTATAATATCTAAAAAGATAATAAGGCTTGCCATTTTTAGCTGCTTAGTGGTTTAGCATCTTCACATGCAAGCACAGAAGTGAACAGGTCTCGTTTCCCCATGTATGACAACATACACTGAACAAAATTATAAACACAACACTTTTGTTTTTGCCCCCATTCATCATAAGCTGAACTCAAATATCTAAGACTTTCTCTATGCACACAAAAGGCCTATTTCTCTCAAATATTGTTCACACATCTGCCAAAATCTGTTAGTGAGCACTTCTCCTTTGCAGAGATAATCCATCCACCTCACAGATGTGGCATATCAAGCTACTGATCAGACAGCATGGGTATTGCACAGGTTTGCCTTAGGCTGGCCACAATAAAAGGCCTCCCTCCGTCCCTACAAGTCCACCCAGACTATTCTCCCATCATGTCCGTGGCTTCAGATGGCAGAGGTGTCACAGTTCGAACACAAGGCTCTGTGTCTAGGGGAGGCACTGTGTTGGACTAACTAGTTCATTAGGGTAAGATGGGGGAGAGGGGGCCGGGTTCAGACAGGCAGCTCACCGGTCTCACACAAAAATACCCCACACACCCCTTGAACAAAAACAATACTGTCTCACATAGGCAATTATGCTGGCACATCCGGGCCCAATATAAAATATTACACAATCCTCTTTTTTCCTGCAAAGGTAGGAAAGGTTTAGACTACTACAACAACAAAGGCTAACAAGGGACAATGCTGTTAATGAATCTACAGAGCTCAATCACGACACTGAAAACACTTAAAGCAATTCTTGTCGTAATCATGAGCATCAGCCGATAGTGTGATTGCGTGTTCATGTCACAGAGAGAGTGTTGGGGAGGGGGTGTTGCTCCCTAGACAGATTAGGGGGTCGGGCCAGCGTTCATATTTTGTCTAGTAGTGTTGTCTGCTGGGGCTCATCCGATTACTGAGCCACTCTTAACACTCTCTAACACACACAATTTCTAAACAAAGGCATATACATTCAAGCACATACACAAGTAAACACTATGCAAATGTGAGGAGACAATTATATTCCCACCACCCACACACAGAAACACACACACATAAACACACATAAGCATGATGCACTGTCTTTCATTTCAGTTTCTGAACGCAACAGACACAAAGACACTCTAATCCTTACATAATCCCCTTCTGCTACCAAACACCAAACTCTGGTCATATCAACTCTCTCTCTCCCACACTTGACTGATCCAAACCTACTTTAAATTGTTTCTTTCTTATTGGACCTAACTCATTCACATACAAAAACCTTGTGCAAGAACGTAACGTGCATTCAAACTAATATTGCATTCTCATTTGAAGTGCCTTAGGTTTGTATTTGTATAATTGTAATCTGCTTTATTTTAGCAGAGCCTGTATTTTTCAATGTACATACAGGACCTGCTAAGACTCAATAAATTTTAAAAACTTCTTCAATACGCCCATTTCTGAGTTAAGTCATTATCAACGCACCAACAGAGACATCTAGTGGTGAGCTCTGGGCCCTACAAGAAGGCAGGAGCACAAATAAAAAAAGACTCACAGGAAATATATATAATAATATAACTTTTCATTGCATGAGGGGAAGTCTTTTTTTTCCTGTTTCATAAGCCCAGTTATAGGCAGATGGGCTGGGAGAGCTGTATTTGCTTATTTCTGTGCTTCTTCTTTCTTCCTTTACCTGTGTCGATCAAATGAACTGCATGAAATAAGAGCTGGAATTATTAGTCGGTTAATCAATTAGTCGATTGAAAAAAAAAATCAATTCAATCAAAAACACCTACCATCCTCTGGTTCCAGCCTCTCCAATGTGAGGATTTGCTGCTTTTCTCTGTTTTATATCATAGTAAACTGAATAACGTTGGGTTTTGAAGACATTGAAGACGTCACCTTAAAAAATGTGATGGACATTTGTCACTCTATTGTGATATTTTATAGATCACACAATTAATACAGAACATAACTGACAGATTAATCATTACTGAAAATAATCAGCCATCAATGCAAAGTACAGTTTCAGGATTCATATTAGGCCTCAATAGAAAAGATTAAGATTAAAAATTAACAGGATCGTGGTCTCCGGTATTTAAATCTTTTCTTTTCAATGTAAACAAGTGTTTGCTATTAATCTGACTCACCTAGTTTGTATGTCAGCACATACAGGATTGTCCAAGGGGTGCCAGGCACTGCCAGCAGCTTCCTCCACACCCTCCATGGCCTCATGGCGTCTGCTCCCTGCCCTCCCCTCCTGCTGCCATCTGCTTGCTGGCCCCTCAAACTCTCATCATCCAGCACAGGGGCCCCCCACACAAACAGAGCCACGCCCGCGTACACAAACGTCAGCAGCATAAACATCCAGCTCCATCCAGCCACGTCAATCACAGCCAGCAGCCCCCCTCCAGCAAACACAGATCCAGCTTTATAGCCCACGACCTGGGCTGTATTGCCAAGCCCCAGCTCCCCGCGACCTTTCAACAACCCCACCGCGGCCCCATCTACAGCAATATCTTGTACGGAGGCCAAGGTGTTCATGGCCAGCAGGGTTCCTGCTACTCCCCAGATATGTGCTTCCGGGGCCAAGGCAGCACTGGAGAGGCATGTCAGAGCCAGGCCAGAAACTGTGCCCACCAGCCAGCGACGCTTGGTGCCGACCCGGTCCACCAAAGGGGCCCAGAACACCTTGAGGACCCAGGGGAAGTAGAGGATCTTGGTGAAACCGATGCGGGTGAGGGAGTGACCAGCTCCACGCAGGAAGACAGGAAGCAAGGAAGACTGGAGACCATAGGGGATGCCCTGGACAAAGTAAAGCAGGCCAAGGAAGACCAGTTTATCATTCATGATCCAACCTCCAAAAGTGATCCTCAGACACTGCAGCGGTGCATCGGTGAGGTCATTGTCATTATCTTTGGTTGTGTTGGGATCACTTCAAATGGACTGACAGACCCAGATGAACTGACTGACCTGAAATGAAAAGACAGAGTGTGAGGTTCAGTTTAATTGGTGTTGAACGTATAATGTTGTTGTGAAAGACATGGGGAGGCTAAAGTCTTCCACAGCTCCTGCAAGCAGCCTTAAAAGGACGTGTCTCTACTGCTGTTTTACTGCCAGCTCAGTTATCAGTAACATTAATCTGGCTATGGTTAGCTCCTCAATGTCAAATGACTTAACACATAAACATGTTCAATATCACGCTGACCACATGTGTTTTCATCATTTAACTTGTATCAAAACACAGACGTGACTTTGGACTTATGGTATTTTGTTAACAGGTAAAGTTACAATAGTTAAGTTTGCTGCCAAACTGAATGACTAGCTACCGTTAGCTTGCTAACTTGCTGTCATGCTAATAAGCTTCTTTGTAAACGAACAGCTTTACAACACATTTGTATCGCATGTCAGTTTTGCTGCGATCAGAAAAACTGTTCCCAATCTATTATGAAGTAAATCTTAACACATACTGGGAAAGAAAGTTGGTTATCCTAGCCTTAGCCAACCGAAGAAGATGCTCCGCTTGTTTTATAGTTGGGGTACGTATGAGCAGTGAGGTTGCCAGGTTCTGTGAAAGCAATCCCCCTTTTGCGGATGGCAAATCGAGACGGGGTCGTGTCTGTTTCGTTCTGTAAAAGCCACAGTGCCAGCTTTCTATCTACGCTCTTTAACTCTTTGATACATTTCCACGCAGGAAAAATATATTTATGACCCAGCTGGCAACACTACATCCCCTAATCTCACTACAATAGCTGCATTTGAGGGGGCAGATCCTTTACTTCAGTAAAAGTACTGATACCACACTGTAAAAATACAACTTTACAAGTAAAAGTCCTGCTTTGAAAATATTACTTACATGAAATAATTTAAATATAATTAGGGAAAGATTATTGTAAAAACAAAAGTAAAAGTACTCACTTCACGAAAGTGGCCCATGTGACTTTGCTATACGTGTGTGTGTGAGTGTGTGTGTGTGTGTGTGTGTATAATATATCCATGCATCGTCAACCGCTTATTCTGCGTACAGGGTACAGAGCCAATCCCAGATGACATCGGGCGAAAGGCGGGGTACACCCTAGACACGTCACCAGTCCATCGCAGGGCCACACATAGACAAACAACCACTACACTCACATCCACACCTAAGGACAATTTTATCAAGGACTGCAACTAATGATTGTTTTCATTATAATCTGCTGATTGTTGACTTGATTTAATCAATTCATTGTTTGGCTTGTAAAAAATGATTAAACTGTGAGAATTACCTTCACAGTCACCCAGAGCCTAAAGAGACACATTCAAAATGCTTGTTTTGTCAAACCAACAATACAAAGCTCAATATCATTAATACATATATTGAAATTAATACAGTATAAAAAAGGTAAAGCAGCAAAATCCTCACATTTGTGAAGCTAGAACCATGAGTTGGTGAAAAATTACCTTATCAGTTTGCAATCATTGAGGACACTGATTAATCGACTAATCATTTCAGCTGTACATAAACGTGCATAAACGTTTTGACAGTTCAATTCAAAACATCACATTTTTTAAGCTTGTATGGTTTGTATGCAAAAATCTGAATTTGTAAAGTAACTAAAGCTATCAAATAATAGTGTAAAGAACAGACTCAAGTAAAGTACCTAAAAGTGTGTACTGGAGTAATGTACTTAGTAACTGTCCACTAATGTCTATCACCCATTCTGTTTGTGAGTCATCATTCGCTCTTTATTAATGTTTGCACATTAATGTGCCACTGCTGTGTTAATTGTCTTACATGATTTCTACATTATGGATCTGCCCAGGGCCAAAACGTGTGCATGTGCAAAGAACCAAAACCACTCAGATGGGCCTTCATACAATAAGCTTTTATTTGTAGGATGTCCAAGCTCTTCAAGGGTAGGCCTACTGCTGCCTGAATATGATTGTTAAATTGTGTTCTGTATACATCTGTTAGCAGCTGCACTGACTTTAGCTTCTCTTTGAGCACCAGATATGAGAATCTATTGAGTGCAAAGCTAAGTCTGTCCCAGAGCATCAGGTCCACTAGCATACTGCTGCCAGATCTATACTGAAATAAGAGTTTTGGAATGTGTAGGAACAACTAAAACATCTGCTGAAGCAGTGCTGAGTCCATGTTATTTTCTAGATGTCATGAAAGTCACAAAGAAGCACAGTCTCCACAAAAGCATAGGGCACAATATGTGTCATGAGATTATAGGTGATTTTCCACAGCTGGATCTTCAGTTGTATGAGCCTTGGTCCCACTGATTGGCTATTAGTTTTCACCCCCACAGAGAGCGAGCAGAATCTTCTCATAGTCTCCTTCAGTGTCATCCTGAAAGAAAGAAAAAACATATGTATACCACAAAAAATCTGACATCTAGCATGGGTCTATTGTCATTATCAGTGATCAGATGTTTGCTCACCAGAATATCCTGGTAGAGTGTTTTGCCGTAGGTTTTCTTGTACTCATCCTTGATCCGTTTCATGTCAATTTCAGAGCGGCTCACCATGATGCGGGTCAGGATACTTTTGCGGGTACCTTTACCCTGATAGGCAGAAAAGAGGCAGTCAGGTAAGGCCATAGGCAGCAGGTATTGTATCTTGTATATGTTTGTTCTTTTTAATGCGTAGTAGCCTATACATACTGTACCTTCATTGCCAAGTAGAGCTTCTCAGCAAAGAACGCAGGCCTGCTTCCAGCACACTTCACTATAGTTATTTAAAGAAAAATCTCATGGTTAAATCAAGTCTGTGCATAAATCACTGGATGAATGAGCAGGTAATAAAGTTAGATTAGAGGTTTGCGCCTTTACCTACTGCTGTGAGACAATTTTCAATATCTCCCTTCATCTCCAGGTCGATAGCTTTAGCCATGTCCACTTTGCTGTACTTTGAGTACCTGTCAAATACTGAAAGGAGAAGAAGTAGTGTCAGAGCTGACAAGATGGGGGGAAAAAACAGATTTTACTGAACAGGACGGCGAGCCAACTAACCTTTACGGAGATGAGGGGCACTCCTGGAGGTGAGGATCTCAATGAAGGCGGAGGCATCTGTCCCCTTCCTCCCCTCACCAGCCTCGTACAGAGCCCTGGCATCGCTGTCAACCAGCTGCTCAGAAACTCCTTCAGTCCGACTGGCCTGTGAAAAAGACAAACAGAACAACAGAGCTGAACACAACTAGTCCTTAAAATGAGCAAGTAATTATTATACTGAATATTAATTTAGTCTGTACACAATTAGCAGTAGAAGGTGACCACGTACAATGTTATAAGACAGGAAGGGAGGACCTAGGTATTATACTTCAGTTTGATGTGTCACACTGTAGTGGAGTGTACTGCTGTGCAAGCCTGATTAATTGTGGAACTGAGAACTATACAACTAACTGTCATAGCCAGCATATCATACTGTGAATGGAGCAAAACAGAAAGGATATGATTAGAATCTTTGTTACTTATTTCTACATTGTGATTGTGAAACTTGAAATGTGATGTTATTGCTCTATTTCTATTTTAATGCAGTCCTCATTTATAGTTGACTGTAGTGCTTGTACCATAAACATATGCCGGTGCATGAAAACTAAAAAAGTGGTAAAGGCAGAACAGAAATATTATATGAGTAAAATATAAGGTGAATGTGCTTTATATGTGCTTATCTGTCTTACAGATAGTGAAGCCAAGTATTATGCTTTAAAAGCAGAATAAGCACAAAGAAATGGTTGTATATTGGATTAATTTACTTGCCAGACTGTTTGACAATATGCAACTTATTTTCAGGAAACCCAAATATAAAGCTATCAAAAGGTTCAATTGTTAACTTGTATTGTGTTAGCATGTGTGTATCAAGGGAGTTAGTTTGTTTTTTATAAATCACTGTCACTGTAGCAGCTACAGC